TAAAAAAAGCAATTTATGAATAATTTTTAAATATAGGAAAATTAAAACAAAAATAGGCATGGGGGATAGTCACTAGGGTAAAACTAAAGTTGTATATATATTATGCTTTTAGTCCTAAGGCCAAAAGATAATTGAAGGCCTATTTAATTAACACAATATCAAAAGAATTAAATAGTATGAGTCATAGTGTTTATTCAGTATATGGTGTTAGGACAACAACAGGAAGCTTGCTGGAAAAAATTTAAGTTGGATCTATACATCACATCCTGGTATGCCAGTATACATTCCAAATGGATCAAAGATTTACAAGTAAAGAAAATGAAACCTAAAACACTACAGTTAAGTCCTGGGAGAATTAGTTTATAACCTCATCAGTGGAGTGGGGATACAAAATTTAGAAGCCATAAAAGAATTTGGTTACATAAAAATGCAAAATTTGTATATAGTAAAAATTACCATAAGCAAAGTCAAAAACCAAATGGCAGTTCATATCATACTCTTATTCTAATTTTTCTAATATAGAGAGTTCCTACAAGTTGATTTTTAAAAAATAGCTAAATGTAGGGTAAGACTAGATAGTTCACTTAGAAAATACAGATGCCTCTTAATTTGATGAACAAATCTTCAACTTCATTTATTTAAGAGAAATGGACATTAAAATTACCACGTCAGACTGTTTTCTACCTTTTAGTATGGGGGAAAAAAAGGAAATTTGTACTATTTTAACAAGGATGTAGGGAATAAGTACTCCTATTCATTCCTGGGAAGGGTATAAATTAACACAACTTCTGCTGTGTTTTTCAAACTTTTTTGATTGACCCAGAGCAAGTTCTTTTTATGTTATAACCCAATTAACTCACACATGTAGAACTGAAACAAGTTTCAAAAAAGAATACTTACCATATTCCATATGATGTTCTGATATTTTCTGTTTTTCTCTTTTCTATCTCTTTCTTTCTTCTTTCTTGTTTTGTCTTCTAATGCTGATTGTAAGCCACTGAATATATTTCTCTAGGTTGCTAGGGGAGAAAACTACAGTTTGGAAAACAGTGCTCCGTTGAATATATGTTGGCAATGTTTTGTATCCTCCTGGTGCCCCACCTCATATCCTCTTGACCCATGTATGTACTCCAACCATTGCTGCAGCATCCAGCTGCACACAGGTGTAATCTGACAGCACTTTCCCTCAGCCACATCACACGTATTTCTCACTTTCTGTCCTGAGGCTTCACTGCTGTTCTACCCAGGGTACCTACAGCTCTTCAAACCTGGAAGTGAAAGGGAATTAATATCCCAGGGGACAAACCTTGACCAATGGGAGATTGGTCAGTGATTAACCAGTGATTAAATGTTTCCATGATCTATCCCTTGGATGAATAATTCAAATTGTATTCTTTGTGGCTCTTCAGAGGGCCCCCAACAAGATTGATCCCCAGTTGCTTACAATAGCAAATGCTATATCATTGTTTCTCAAACTTAAATGTATATACACAACACTTCAGGACTGGGTATTCCCTGGTGGTGGTCCAGTGGTTAGGACTCAGTGCTTCCACTGCAGGGGGCACACGGTTCAATCCCCGGTTGGGGAACTAAGATCCCGCATGCCGTGTGGTATGGCAAAAACAAAAAACACTTCAGGATCTTGGTTGAATGTAGGTTCTAATTCAGTAAATCAGGCAGAGCCTGAGATTCTACACTTCTGACAAGCTCTAGGTAATGGTTGCTGTGGATCACACTTTGAGTAGCAAGGAGCTGGAAAACATACCCTTCCACTGGCTTTCCCTCCTTCCTTGTTTCACTCTTGGGTCATCTTGGGATCACTTGCGTACAAGCCTATTTCTCAGGCTCAGTGATTAGGCAGAACCCAGGGTAAGACAAGTAGTATTGACCCAGCAATTTTATTTCTAGGAATTTATCCTATAGATATATTCACATATGTGTGAAATAATGTTATCTACAAGGTCATTCATTACAACACTGTAATAACAAAAACTGGAAAGAAATAAACATCTACAAGTAGAGGACTGGTTGTATGACTTCTGATATATCCATATTATGGGCTATTCCATAGCTATTAAAACAATAATAAGGCTCTTTATATTGTGATAAGAAAAATATTCAAGGTATATGCTAAGTATAAAAGGTAGAGTACTGTGCATATTAATGCCTCCATTTGAGTAAAATAAGGGAAAAATTACTTTTTTTTGTTTGTATATGCATAAAATAACTCTGGAAAAATACAGAAAATAAATAATATTGATTGGGACAAGGGAAAATAGGTGGCCAGGGACAGGAAGGAGTGGGTGACTTTTCTTAGTAATGCCTTTTATATAGTTTTGAAATTTGAACCATGTGTTAACTATTGAATTTAAAATTTTCTGTGCTTTTATATATGGAATGTAAAAGAAAAAAATTTTAATGGTTCTGAAGAACCTAGGGGCAGGACAGGAATAAAGACGCAGACATAGAGAATGGACTTGAGGACACGAGGAGGGGGAAGGGTAAGCTGGGACAAAGTGAGAGAGTGGCATGGACATATATACACTACCAAATGTGAAATAGCTAGTGGGAAGCAGCTGCATAGCACAGGGAGATCAGCTCGGTGCTTTGTGCCCACCTAGAGGGGTGGAATAGAGAGGGTGGGAGGGAGGGACATGCAGGAGGGAAGAGATATGGGAACATATGTATACGTATAGCTGATTCACTTTGTTATACAGCAGAAACTAACACACCATTGTAAAGCAATTATACTCCAATAAAGATGTTAAAAAAATAAAATAAAATTTTATGTGTTTGATCTAGAAGTATATTACATTTTCTTAAGCTACTCTTAAGCTACTCTTAACATTTAATGTTATCATAATTCAGATCAGTATGGAATAAGATCACATACCATCTGTTATCATTTATGTCCGTGTTTTAGTTTTCCAATAGATTTCAAGCTAAATTATGACAACTATACATCTGTATTTTTTAAAAGATATTGCTTGTAAGCTGGCCATTTGCTGTTTGAGGAGAGACAGGTTGATTGGCAATTCTACTGAGTTATTGCTTTTATGATTTTCTTCCTGAACTTAAATAAAGTTAATAATACCAAACAAAAAAAAAGGTACTGCTGTCAGAGCACATAACATTATGTATATAGTAAGCACTTTGTAGATACCTGCCAAGTTTATTTGAATACTCTACATTTGTCTCTAATACCAGAACAATGCCTATAGTAGAGCAAATTGGGCTTATTTCCTAAAACTCTTAGTAACTGCACAGTAACTCAGGAAGTTACCAGAGGAGGAAAGGATAATGGTAAATTATAGTAAAAATGTAAAAAATCTTTTTAAAGACTCAAATTATAGCAAAGTATGATTTTTTTTACTCAAATAAAGCAGGGGAAGTATAGAATACATTTCAGAAGAATTCTTGGTAAATGGGTAAAATTTTTAAAGTTTTGATGTTCAAGGATTAAACTTAATTTAGCTTACAAATTCACTTACAAACTCTCAGTCTCTGTTGATGCTCAGAAATCAACAGATGTTTGTGTCTACTGTGACTCAGTTCTGTACTAGGACCTGTGGTTACAACGGTGAGCCAAAACAGACATGGTTTCACATGCAGTAAACATACAGCTTAGTGAGAAAGATGGGTATTAATCAAGTAGTTATTTCATGATTGAATAATTACAAATGAAGTAAGTGCTCTAAAGAGAAGGGACAGGCTCTCTGATGGCATGTGTAAAAGGAATCTGAAGTAGGTATAGAGATCAGGGAAGACTCTGCTTGAGGATCAAGCACCGTCATTTCCAGATTTACTAGTTATTTATTGCTGTGTAACAAACCACCCCAAAACTAAGTTGCTTTAAACTAAAATTTATTCTCTGTGGATTTACTGGGTGATTCTTCTGCTTATCTTGCCTGAGCTCAGTCCTGCAGCCGCTTTCAGCTGATGGCTAAGTTGGAGGCTGGGCCTCCCACTCCCTGTGTACTTTCTTACCAGGCTTCTTCATGGCTTCATGGTCCCAGAACCAAGAGGGTAAAGATAGAGGCTGCAAGGCTACTTGAGGCCTATGCTCTGAAACTTGCACAATACCACTGCTTGTGCAAGCAAGTGAACAGGCCAGTTTAGATTCAAGGGATGAGGAAACAGAGTCCACCTCTTGATGAACTGAGCTACACAGAATTTGTGGTCATTTTTTTCAATCTACTACAATCGATCAGATAATTATTTATTCAATAAATCATTATTTCCTAAGGATCGTTTTAAGAATTAGAAATCAAACATGAATAAAATATAGTAATTTTAAGTTGCCATTTTTTCCTTTTCCTTAGAGCACATGGTATTTGTGAATTGTCATTTCATTTTTTATAGAGATCAGTATTCGTGAACATTTTTTCCTATGGTATAAAAATGAATCATTATTAAATAAATAATATAATATAGAAAGAAGAGTCTTACCTAATTAGAAAGGAAGAAAAAGTCACTGGGGATTATAAGTCATTTTTAGCCTTTCTAAATTTGTAATAACATGTATTTTATAGTCAGAAAAGAATTAAGGCTATGTCAGTGTAGCCATGCAGTTATGAATGATATCTATAAGCACAAAAATTAATTCAGTAGTGAAAAATCTCAGGGAAGTCAAGCTTTTCTTTGTAGTTATAACTTTGCTCTCATGTTTGTTTTAGCTGTCTTTTAAAGGTGATTTGTTTCCAGCTCAAAGTTTACCCTTTCGGATAATTTTGAATGAATTAATAAATATGTAAAGCTAATGACAAAGACATTAGCTACCTGGAATTTTGGGTTTTGCAGGCAGTGTCACAAGAAAACAAAAGTATTTAATTTGCTTGGAAAGCCATTTTTATGAGCAGTAATCTAACTTTTTTCCCCAATATTTTCAAAATTATAAGAATGATAAGAATGCTGCTTTTCTTCTGATGGAAAGTGACAGGCTAATCATCAGTTTACCCAGAGTGAAGTGGACAGAAGCAGCACTGACCATGGCATCTCAGCTCCAAGAAGAATGTATTGCATTTATTATAGAAAACTTCTCCAAGATCATTCAAAGTGAAAATTTTGCTCTCCTCTTACAGGTACTGCATCTAAAATTATATCCTATATTTAGTCCCATCTTTGTGTTCTGATTATAATTATGTAAGTTTTCAAATTCAGGTTGCCTTTGATTAAATTAGTATGACTTAAATAAATTCCATAGCAGATGGCATGTTTGCATAGCATTTAGGGCAGTGATGGACAGGATTTTTGGCTCATAAGATAATGAAGGGAGGAGGGGACAGGTTGAGTGCCCTGGCAAGGCACAGTGTAACTCTGGCAACTCCAGCCCTCAATCAGCATAAGCCATATTATAGAAATAGAAGTCATAAAGATATTGTTTTGGTCAGTAATACAATTATGGTTCATGCAAAAATCTCTGTCTTACTGGGACCCACTTTCTCTAAATTTAGTTACTTAATAAAGAACTTTTATAACTTATTTCTAGGCTCTGTTTTAGGACTATTTTGGCTCTTAAGAATTGTGTATGTGTGCCGATATTTTTAACAGAGGAAAGGGATTAGTATAATATTTATTATTATAATGATAATAATTATTATTATTAACAGAGGAAATAAGATTTCTGATTGACTTCATATAACCAGTTATGATGAATGGTCTGCTGTTTTGCCAGACTTTCACATTTCTTACACATTTACATATATTCCTATTAAATATCAATTTCTGTGTTTTATAGTCACAAGCAATGAGTAGCACGTCTGATCTGCTGGACAAAATTTTAAAAGCAATTGAAGAAAACATTACCACTGAGAATAGTTGCTCTCTTCTTATGGCTCTGGACACGTTACTAAACTCTGACAGTACAAAGGAAATGGTATTTGATGTAATAAAATTCATTAAAATGATAGAATATTTAAACTGTTTTAAGATTTTTAAATATATACACTAATGGTAGAATATTTAAACTGTTTTAAGATTTTTAAATATATACACATTTTAAATGTTGCATGGTTCATTGAAACTAAGTGTTTGATACCTGGAGGTTGGTTACGGTCTCTACTTCTGTGTATATTTGGAATTTTTCATAATACAAAATTTTAAAAATTTCATTTACCTCCAAATAGACTTATTATAAAAGTTTAGAATTTGGAAGTTTGGCTGGCTAATTCTAAATATAGTTTGGTACTTAGCAATATTAATTGGTACAGCATAAGTTTAGTATTTCTCCCCAGTCACTACATTAAATTTCCTAAATATAAAACTTAAAGAATTTTAAAGAATGTTTTACAGTTTTAATCATCAGTGTCTTTTAATTTTATAATATGTTCTTAATTTTTGTCTTAAGAAAAAAATCATTTAAAATTGGATTGACTGAGAAAAAGAAAAATTAAAATATATCTTATTGTTAAATGCAATTAATCAATGGTAATTAATAAGCTAATTGCAAATTATTGACATTTTTAATTTGTTCAACAAGAATGACAAAAAATTTCATCATATTTATTATTACTGCATAGAGTATTTGACCTTGTAATGTCATAGCTGATTTGAAGAGGCTGTGGAAGGTATTTACGTAAAGGCCATTGGTGGTTTAAAACAGTGTTTGGTTAAAAGGATAATGCTGAAAGGATAAGGTTCATGTTCACTATAAAATTCTGTTGTTAAAGAGCAAGCCTTCATAAATAACTTGTACCCAACGATCTTAAAAATCTAAGTGATGACATCATTGATCTAGCTTAGGAGTAAGTAGATTCGGAAGGGAATAATGACTGGTTGCTATGACAATGTGGCTCTGACCAGCTGCTGATTTGTTGCTTGAACACAGGGTTTTACGTGCAAGATCCAGGCTCTGCGTGATAAGCTGTGGATCTTCCTGGTTCAGTCTTTCTATGCTGTTCGTCACACAGAAAGCTGGAAGCTGATGAGCACAGATAATCAACAGAAAATCCAAGCAGGTATATTAGCCTTGAGATTTTTTATTCTTATAATTGTGACGAGATATTTTAAAGGGATTCTAATAAGTGATAGGATTAACGTTTGTTTGCTTCTGTTTGCTTGCTAATTGAAACTGGTGCTGGTATGTTTAGGCAGTTTTAATAAATCATGCTTTTTTTCTGTCCTTAGAAAATGAAATTCATTTCCTTATATATACATATATAACTCTACTTTATCTTAGCAACTTTATATTCTAGCCAAATTTGCTTAAAAGCATTCTTTTAGATAGATTTAGAAGTATAGGAAAATGTAACCCATATAGAACAGATTAACAAACATACTTTCTCTCCCTTTTAAAATATATTTTTCCATAAAGCTTTCCCATCTTTTGCATAAGATACCCTTTCTTGTGGTTTTGCCTAGATTAGATGGCTTTATTCCATGATCGATTGGTTCGGTGATACGATGTGTGCTATTGCGGAGTGTCCCTCAGGAGCCGCACAGTGCTCTTTGACATTTAATAGGTACCATTTGAAATATTAGCATTAAACAAAAGATTTATACTGCTCAGAATGTGTGTTTGTTTCAAAAATGTTAAAATAAAAAATTGAGGGTGTGGAACTAAAAATGGCTTCATGACTATTTTTGGGTTAAAGCAGGTACCTTAGGAAAAATATTGAGAGATTCAGTAAGTATACTTTTAAAAACATTTTAAATTAAGAGACTATATTTTATGAAGCAAACATTTCTGTCCTATAAAACATGGAGACCGTATGTGATATGATATATTCTGGGTAGTACATGGATATGTTAAATTCTTTAATGATTTAATCAAAATATGATTTGCTCTGTCTTGCATTAAGAGCATAACACGATGGTGTAGCCAGATGTGATCTCAAGAGCACTTTTCAAAGAAATTCCAACAAAATAATAAAACAACAAAATCCATGAAACAACAAAAGTCATGAGAAGGTCTTTAAAAATTGGAATTTTTTTCCTTGTGACTATTTCTGTACTGATTTTTAGATGACAGTTCATCTGTACTATACAGTGTAAAAAACTAAGATCAGCATTCCATGAGTAGGTGTCATTCAACTCTCTTCTGATTTGGAGTAAACTTTGCTTTTCTCCATTTTTAGAGGATATCATAGTTAAGTTGGGTCCCGAACAATGTTCTTTATCTTAATTCTTCAAAGTGCTAATTTAAAATACATGTAGGGGCTTCCCTGGTGGTACAGTGGTTGAGAGTCCTCCTGCCGATGCAGGGGACACGGGTTCGTGCCCTGGTCCGGGAAGATCCCACATGCCGCGGAGCGGCTGGGCCCGTGAGCCATGGCCGCTGGGCCTGCGTGTCTGGAGCCTGTGCTCCGCAGCGGGAGAGGCCACAACAGTGAGAGGCCCACATACCGCAAAAAAAATAAAATAAAATAAAATACATGTAAATACATACATATATATACACATATCTAAAACAAAATATTATTGGTAATCCAACTAATTGTCAAAAAGAACTTTTCAATCTATTACATTCTATCAGTGTAAAAATAATTTTTAAAATCTTAAATATGTTGAATTATAATGAGTCCTGACTTATGCATAATTATTGCATTGGGAAATCCCAGATAAAGGAGTAATTCTAGGTTGTCTTTGTTATAACATTTCTTATGTTCTAGTTTGAGTTACTGATCTTTGGGAGAAATCTTGTATTAATTTCCACCTGTATATTTTCGTGCAGTCATTTGCTAACCACAAACCAATCCTTCCAATGCTATTTCTAGGATCCTGCTTTGTCTTATAACATAGTTCCTATAGAATAGAAATAGTAGAAGGTGCATGGTAGGGTTACAGATAATTTGATGTATTTTTCATCAGCTATTTTAATAAAAATAAAATAAATTTTGGAAAATATATGTATATATTTCTTCAAAATATATTTTAAAGCTACATAACCTTCAAAGGGAACAAATACATTAGCTAAACTATATTTATGGCTCTCATACCATTATTCCTATATATTTCCCTGACGTCATTTAAATTCTTATTTGAAGAACATAAACTGAGTTCCCCAATAATTCCCATATAAACCTAATCTATAAAATGAATTTTTTATGTAATTCTAAAAAGAATGATATAGGTTTAAGGATTGTCTCTTGTTTTATTTTCAACAAAACCTTATCTTTTTTCTCTTTACTCCTTCCTCAGGACATACCTGCAAAATCAGAAAATTTTTAAGAGTATTTTAATATTTTTTAGGATAGAAATTTTCTCCCATTGAATAGTTTATAAAATATTAGATCTCAAAATATCTCAATATTACATTTCAAAAAATCTGTAATTTTTTGTCATTTGGAAAACTAGCTAAAAAGAAGTTATCTCTAAAATTTCAAGCTTGAGAAAATTCTAAGTTTTTGTAAATGTATAAATCTTCTCTGTGAGACTGTACATTTCTAATTTATTAATTTTAATAATATAAAATCCATAGGGACAAGAAAATAAGATTCAAAATGAAGTTCTTTAAGAAAAATTCTAAAATAGGGAATTATTTATGTGTACCAGATTGGTTTCAACTTTTTAAAAGTTATTTCCATCAAAATGTAACCTCTTTTTGCTAATATACTATTTTCCCTCTACTTCTATGGTAATAATAGTGCTTCCTATAAAATTAAATTGCTTTTTTTTTCCTACAGCTGCATTTGACAAAGGTGATGACCGAAGACTTGGCAAAAAGCCTATATTCAGCAGCTCTCAGGTAAACTTTTACAATTTTACAGGCCCAGATGAAACAAGATACCAAGTAATTTAAATTTTATCATTTTATATTTCAGAATAATTTTTAAAAATCTATTCTTTCATTAACTAAAGCTGTTCTGGATGGAAATAATTTTGAGTCTCGTTTTTAATCCAGTGAACATTTTGTTAATTTTTAAATGATATGCATTTTTTATATTCAGCTGGTATGGGAAGTGAAATATTGTCTACCATTTTTATTTCCTTGAAAACCTTTTTGGCAACTAGCATGTTGGAACTATTCCAGATCAGAAATTGTCTAGAATTCTGGATCTAGTTCCATGTCTGTTTTTCTAATTAACCTACTTTTTACAAAAGATTTTAGTTGTCCCAGTTTTCTCTATACTAAGATTTTAATCCACATAATATATTTTTGGTATGAAAAAGGCAGTTAATACCAAGAGTACAGTTGTGTTCACTTTAAAAGTTACTTGGGGCTTCCCTGGTGGCGCAGTGGTTGAGAGTCCGCCTGCCGATGCAGGGGACACGGGTTC